CTCTAGTGTCAAAGAATCACCAAGATGGTGTACTACCAATAATCAACTCAAACCATGCATGAACCACATAAATTTTCAACCCAAAGATTACTGAAACGGAAAGATCACTTCTTTAATAACCAGGATGACTCGTATGTCTAATACCTCAAAATTTAAGTGTGTGTCGGCTTTTCAAGCTGAAACCTCGCAAATCAAAACTAGCCACCAGTCAGATCATCCAACACTTCAATTCCCAAGGAATTTTCTAGTCCTCAAATACGATTCATTCCACAAAAATGTTCAATCTGTGGTTTTAATGAGTTCAAAGTTTTCCAAGTTTATGATTCGACAAATATGCCAATTTGTTTTTGCAATTTTAAAATATTTGTCGAACATAAAATCTGTATAACAATTCTTATGCACCCTCAAAATAACTACCTCCACTAGATAATAGTTCAAAGTGGCCACAAATGTCATGCTCATAAAATTGAACAATAAAATGCATTTCTGTTGCGCAAAATTACAATGACAACAAACAAGGATGTACACAACTAACCAAATCAAACGAACCATCTTAGTCCCAACACGCACTTACTCCTACCATGTATATAAATTAATTCATGCATTAAAATAGTGTCAAACAAAATATTTTTGCACAAAACTCAAAAGAGAAATTACACGACATCAAGCTTCCAAAAAGAAAATCTCTTTTAGCCGGCCACTAAACAACATGGAATGAAATTTCCCAACAAAACTCTCATGCGTTACCTTATTTCGCAAAACTGGTAAAATGATATGTGCATGCTGTTTGGTTAAAGATGAAATAATTTATGTTGGTTTCAAAGTTAAAGCCAAATAATAATATGCTTTCACCATTCTAGAATATTGGTTAAAATATCAGGAAGAAAGCTCCAAATAGAATATATCTGCAACAAAATAATTCATACAAAACTTAAGGGAAAACTATACAACTGGACGCTATCAAAATCTTCACATCTAAATAACAAAATCGCATAGGATACATTTTTTAATGAAATCTTATACACAAGCACACACAATAAAATAAACCTATGCATTTCAAAGTTTCACCTGTGAGTCACAAAATAATCACAAAATAAAAATCCTATAAAACTCCATGTAACCATATGTGATAAAGTAGCTTCATGTATTTCAAAACTTGACCCATCTCACATGCAACAACTTACCTTTCGAAACTAGTAGCAAAATAGGTACATGCATTTGAGTAAGAAATGGAATACTTTTTTGTTAGTTTCAAATCTAAAACTGTTTAACAATATATAAGATTATATATGATATAAATATTTGCAGGCACAAGTCACGCCTTGAAAAAACATTGTGGCTCCTAAAGTCTGAGGCTTGGCTTCGCCGCCATGCTAGACGCCATTTAGAACCTTACTCCTAGGCCTACCCCTCCTCTTCACCCTCTCAACCGTCTTCTACTCTCCTAATTGGTGTTGTCAATTGTCTTCTATGAACATGTCCAAACCATCTCACTCTACCATGCATCTCTTAGTTTTTGTGATAGACACAATTCCTAGTTTCGATCTGAACTTCGTTTGTCTGACCAGATGTCCATCTCAACATCCTTAGCATTGCAACTTCCAATTTCATCACGTGTAGCTTCTTTAATGCCCAACACTCCATACCATACAATGGTTTATGGTATTATGGCTATCGTATAAAATTTCCCTTCAATTTTAATGATATCTTTTTATTACACAACAATCATATTGCCTCTCTCTAGTTTAACCATCCCATTGACTTAGTAGGAAGTGTGAAAAGGATCGACAAGCTTCAAACCCTCGGTGTAGAGAATTTACCAACGTAAACACTTAAAAAAATAATTAAAAGAATAATCTTAAAAGAGGTATTTTACTAACCGAAATCAACTGAACTATAACCTAGACTTCAAAGGGTCTATAAAAATAATAATAATAGAAGAATTCAAAAGATTTAAGGAAACTAATTTAATCAAGGAAAGCAATATAGACAAAAAGGAAATGATTAGAGACGATTCTTGCCGTCGAATCCATCTCACATGTGCATGTGCGGGTGACTAGTCGTGCGGGTTTAGCCACGTGGTTGGTCGCATAATTCCAACGGTGATTCAAGCGGTGGTGGCACGCCTCCTGCACACACCGGAGGTTGCAAGCGACTCTGTCTGGTCTTTTCCTTGTTCTTTCTTGCTAGCCTTCCTACATCACCCACCTTTATGCGGTGCGTACATCGTGTGCAATTTCGCCTTCCCTATGAATCATTGAGCCTATATATGTACAATTATCCAACTAGGGGTTATCCTTTGCTCCCAAATGCTTACTTCTACACTCTCATCAATACGTGCCTTGTCAAAAACTACACTATAGATATTACACCTTCTTCATATATCTTTCTTAAATGTTTCATTTTTATGACAATTTTTAAGATTTACCCGCATGTTATAAAATAAAACCCACTGTTTATTCATTAGTTTATTTTTAGTAGTTTATCGAATATATTAATCATTAATGAAAAAGAGATGGTTTGAATTGAACTATAATAAATGTTGAATTCCGTTGCACTAAAATATTCTTATCCTAATATATTAATTTATGGGGCACATGCCATTCGTGGTTGAAACAATGATAGTGTTATTGTATCGTAGTGGAATTAGTTAGTTTTCAAAGAAAGCATGTCCCTACATCTATGATTGAATAATTGAATAAAAGTGGCCACAACAAATCACATAGGAAGTAATCCCTTTTTACATTTAACAAAAATAACAAAAAAAAATTATTAACCTGGACATCCAACCTGTTATACGAGCTGACTAATCTTAGAATGATCACATGTTTTGTTTTGCAGGTAGTCCGGAGTCACCACATTTGAACCTCCGTGGCCACAAAGGGATTTTTGTTTCTTCTTGGATTTAAACCTGGGGCCTCCAGACACTTTTGACTTTTGAAGTCAAGCTCAAACCAATCAGGCACCACCCTTGTATAAGTATATTTCTATGTTGTCAGTTTAGAAGTTACTTTATATTTGATAAATAGTTACACATGTTCTTTTAAGTGACCTTATAATTTTTGTAGAACACATTGAGTGTATACGATTTTAAATTCTTTAGTTGTTATGGAAATTCCACGTTACACCCATAGCGCAATTTGATTTAATTCGTGTTTGTTTACTCCTCACACTACAAAATAAAGAGGAATCATCAACGGAAAAATCTGTTGAAAAAAGCTATCACTGGCTAGGGGTGGACTGATTAAAAGCCGAGCGGACTCCTCTGCACCCGCTCACTCGATTATTGTAAGAAAAAGATCGACGTTTGAAAAGTGCACCCGCTTGATTTAAAGGGTGCCCTCAAATTTTTTGAAACAAAATTTATAACAAATATCAAACATGAGTGAAATGGTTTAGATATTTATATTAAATTAGGAGATACAATAAGTTGCGGGTTTGATTCTTACATCTTGCAAATATTAATTTTTGATCTCTTAAATTTTGACTATTAGGGCCGGCCCTACAATGTTATTACTAAAAATGTGAACAATAAAGATACATCTACAACAATTCCTTGTTTATTTTTCTTCTATTTTGATCTAATAACTTTTCTTCATGATTTATTTTTCTTTTTCATGCAAATTCTTTTTAAAGTCGTTTTTTATCTCGTTTTCGAAGCTATATATATATATATATATATATATATTTTAAAGATCAAGGTTAATTTTTCTTGAAAATGTGTATTTTATTCTCTAGATCAACATAATTAATTTTTCTCCAGGTCAAACTGGGTTGACTCTCCCTAGGTCAAACTGCTACTTTGTGGACCCTAGGTATAGCCGCTCAGAATAATTCCTAGATCCGTCACTGTCACCAGCGGATCTTATCGTCACAAAAAGTGTGATCGGTGATCTTTGATTAGCGGCAGATTTTTTAATATTGATGGAAAAATCCGTGGGTGATAATCAATCTGCCGGTTATCCGCTACAAATCCGTTAAGTTGGTAATTATCAATGGAAAAATCCACTGGTAAAGTCTCTTTATTTTGTAATGTCAATCACTTACTAATTTATTTAAAGACGAATACAAAGACAGATTAATAAAGAGTAAACGGGTAAATGGATTTGAAATAAAAGCCTTAGATTTACTATGAAACACAAAATGGATAACGAACTTTATTTATAAAACGTCCCATTAGATTATATCCTTGTTCGTAAAGAATATATATGTCAGGTGTATGCCATTCTTTAATTGAGTAATATATATTGGTTATGTTTTTTTTTTATTAACTTGGATATCCAACCCGCTATATGAGCCGACTAATCTCAGGACGACCACCTATTATAATAAGGTAGCCCGGAGTCACCGCATTTGAATATCCGTGGCCACAAGGGGATTTTTGTTCCTTCTTGGATTTGAATATGGGACCTCCAGATATTTTTAACCTTTGAAGCCAAACTCAAATCAATCAAGCACCATCCTAAGGATGATTATATATTGGTTATATTATATGTTAGTGCATAAACAACCAATATATTTCAAACACAGAAGTAATATATAATCTTTTGTAGTTTATGGATGTTCTGAAATCATGGTAGTGTCCTTCAAAAGTTTTCCCAATGATAAAGTGTAGGAATCTTAAGAACGTCACATTCCTTATCCTACCAAACTCCCAAAAAAACACTCCTTTGCCTTTGGCTTATGTCACAAGACAAAATCATACAGTGCCACTCCACCTTTGCTTATTCAACAAAGCACCCCATCTCCCTCTTAACCATAAACCAATTAATTGCAGCCCTTTACACACAGACACTGGTGAATGAGTGACACTTAAAAAAGTTGCTTATGCTTCTTAAACAAGATTTTCTGGATGAGAGGATAATGCAAAGAAGTCTTAATCAATCATTATCTTCTCTTTATACATATTCTTAAGCCCGGTCTTGAGCTTTCATTGTGCATAAAGAACTCACAAGCTCTTTGTTGGTTAACCTTGTTTTTTCTTTCTGGAGACCAACAAAATGATACAATCTGCCCCGACTAAAATACTCATAGGAATCTCATTCGATCAAGAACGGAGCATGGAGCTTCTGTCATCTGCAATCTGTAATTTGGCTCGTCCGAACGACACTGTCGTAGCCCTGCATGTTCTTGGTTAGTACGTAGACCTGTTTCTCAATTAAAAAATCAGTGGCTTTTTTACTTTTAGTTTTAACGTTGGCAGAAACATTACAGTGGCGCAAACAACGAAGAAACACACAGACAAAAGGGGTGTTTCGAAATCCATCAACAGATATCGAACGCGAATAAGGAAAGCAAAAGCTTTTGTTATATCTGTCACGGGGGAATTCGCAAACGTTTGCCGTGCCAAACAAGTAACTATATATATTAGACGATTTTAATGTTGTTGATGTCTTTCCTATATATGTTCTTCAATAACTAGGATCTTAATGCTGATTACTTCCAGGTGAAGTTGGAGGCAAGAGTTGGGTTTAGCTCTAGTGTTGGGAAAGGACTTGTTGAAGAAGCCAAAAATATGTCATCTAGGTATCTTCTCATTTCAAGCAAAAGCAACGACTCAAATCGGTAAGAATACTGGATTATGATGATTCAATTTCTGTTCAAACTGTCTTGATTGAATATTCACCGTATTCGAGTTTTGCTTTCATGATTAGGGTCCATCAAACACAAAAATACTGCCTTGATAATTCACCCAAATCATGCTCGATAGTTTTGGTTCAGAAATCGGATATGAAAAAACAAGATTTTCATTCTGGCAACATCAACGAAGAAGGTTTGTTCATCTGATAGGTTTCCATTCAGCGCTTATTTCACTAGGAATATTCTATTACTTTAGAATGTATCAGAATTCCATAACTCGACTAATGTTTCAGATTTCTCAAACAAGAAGAGTGAGCAGCGTTCGCCTAGAAACGTGCTGGATTTATCTGAACGCGACTATCATAGCACAGAAGAAGACAGTTCTAGCTTTGAGGGATCAAGCATAATGGAATCACCTCCGCCTCTGGTGGCTCGGAAGTCAAAAGGGCAATCTTCTTTCAGAAAGCATATATCATCGTTGAAACGCATTTCATCTTTCTTACGCTCTCCATTTGAACCAGACACTAGGAAAGCGGACATGAAGCTTCCAATCAAAGAACAACAACAAACTTTGTTGAAGTGCTTGAGTTACGAAGAGCTCGCCAAAGCAACAAATAATTTCCATCCAGGTACCAAATATCTAAGAACCGTGAGCTAACCTAATAACCTTGTCATGGTTCTCATATTATTTGCACCATATATATATATATATATATATATATATTATAGACAGATATATGGAGAGAGAGACACTCACCAACTTATCTAAATAAAATGTCTTATTCTGGTACATGAAGTCTTGCCCAGTTATAATGGTACACATTTTAAGCAAATGCATGCTAAAGATATGTCATTTAGTTTTCACAAAAAGTGCATGTAACTAAACGAACTTCTGCAGATAATATAGTCGGGATCGGAGGCTACTCGGAGGTGTACAAAGGTGATCTAGAAAATGGACAAGTCATTGCGGTGAAAAAGCTTGCCAAGGACAACAAAGATCAAAATAAGGAGAAAGAGTTCCTAATGGAGTTAGGCATTCTTGGACATATTAACCATCCCAACACTGCGAGCTTAGTAGGTTGCTGTGTTGAAAATGGACTCTATCTCATCTTTAACTACTACCCTAACGGAACTCTCTCCTCGGCGCTACATGGTATGAGAAATAGTTTCTAAGTTCTTATCATTAATTTTTGCTGCACAGGGCTGGAACTAGATCTGATCACCAGGACATTTGAAAATTTTAGGAAAAACCGGCAAGCATATCGAGTGGCCTGAAAGATATAAAATTGCTGTTGGGATTGCTAGAGGTTTACATTATCTTCACACATGTTGCAAGCATCGGATTATACACCGTGATATAAAAGCATCAAATGTTCTTCTAGGTCCAGATTTCGAACCCCAGGTGAACGGCAAAAACTATTACGTACTATCCAACAAGAGGTTTGAAATATTTGCCATTTTGTTTCTTAAATAATTCATGTTTTGTATGTGTAGATTTCAGACTTTGGTCTGGCCAAATGGCTTCCCAGCAAATGGACACACCATGCCGTAATTCCCATTGAAGGGACTTTCGGATACTTAGCTCCAGAATACTTTATGCACGGGATTGTTGATGAAAAAACAGATGTTTTTGCTTTTGGAGTTCTTCTTTTGGAGATAATAACAGGCCGAATGCCTGTCGATTCAGACAAACAGAACCTTGTGTTGTGGGTCAGTAATCATATCATGTCACATTTGATTCACGATACAGTTGCAAGAAAACATACCCAAATGCACACAAAATAAATAAAAGATCTCTTCCCTTTTTCTCAAAACACACAAAATAAGGAACAGAAGAAAAATGTTGATCAAACTGTGGTAAAACTAAACCAATCAAGTTTACCAAAACTGATAACTGATAGATTTTTCTGAGTCCAAGTGAGTGGTGTGATTTTCAGCAACTCTTGCTCACTACCAAAATTTAATTGAAAATACGTAATAAAACAAAGATGAATACATTTACATTAGTAATAAACCGTGCAATGTTATAGGCGAAGCCACTTATGGACTCTAGAGACATCTGCCGACTAATTGATCCTGATCTAGAAGGTGAATACGACTCCGATCAACTGTATAGACTAGTACTCACATCTTCATATTGTGTACAACAATCTTCTGATTGGCGACCTTCCATGACCGAGGTACATGTTATTCTTGGCACTCCCCTTCGACTGAGTAATTCATATACTTTCTACTAGTGCAAACGAGTGATTTAACAATCATCTTCCTCGTCTGATTTTGGCTTGTTAGGTGTTGGAAGTTCTACAACATGGAGATGACTCAGAATTTGCAAAGAGTTGGAGAATACCAGAATTTACACAAGAGGAGAATGAAATGGATGATTATTCCATGATTTTTGGGTACGACGTTCCATCGGATATAAGTTTAGACGACATTTAGAGAAGAAAATTTTATTTTTGTTCTTAATAATATATAACTTGGAATTTTGGCCTAAGTAGCTACCATAAGAACTAGATAGGTTGCAATACATAGAACATTAAATTCATCAATTCTTCTTCTGTTACCTTAACTTCTTTGTCTCATTATTGATTCTCATGTTCTGTAAGGAAGAAGGTTATTATTATTATGTTTAAAGAGGCAACTTAATCAATACAGTCAATGTTGCAAATATACCGATCATTGCACAACGATGGATCAGTTCTGAGGACATCGTGGTCAGTAGCAGATTAATCAATCCATTATTTCCACCCAACTTACAAGATAAATGGCTTATAATTGCGAGACAAATTAATAGTACCGAACCACAAGAGTGGTGCCCGGTTGGTTTGAGCTTGGCTCTAAAGGTCAAAAAGTACCTGGAGGTCCCAGGTTCAAATCGAAGGAGGAATAAAAATCCCCTTGTGGTCACGGAGGTTCAAATGCGATGACTTTGAGCTATCTACAAAATAGATAGTCGTCCTGAAATTAATCGGCTAACATAACAGGTTGAATATCCAGGTTAATAAAAAAAAAATGTTTTCGTAACCTTATAAAAGCATCTCCAATCCACTCAATATCCTATATTTTACTCCATAATTACTTCTCCAACCCCACTTCATTCTTCAGACCAAATATGAAGTAACACTATTCAACCACTCTATTTTAGAGTGTAGATTTTTAGTCCCTCTAGTTCCAATATACAATTTAGGGGATGTTTAGTTCAGGTAGAAGAATAAAAATAAAAGTGAAAATAGGAATGAATTTTTATTCCTTCTAATTTAACTTGAAATTAAAATTTGAGCTTCTGTGTTAATAATCATATTATATTATATAAAACTAAACGATTTCTTTAATTTTCGTTCTCATTGATTATTGTTTCATACCTCAAACCAAACATCGTCTTATAGTTTATTAATCATTTTAGTTATAATATATATTACATGTAAATATTATAAAATAGACTGATATTAGTTTATGATGTATATAATAAATTTAATTTGTATTTTTCAAACTTATTTAAAAATTTTAATATTTTATTAACAAAATAAGTTTTTAATAATTTAAAACACAATTCTTGCTATAATTCGTGATTTTGGCTAGTATTCGATTTCGGTTTTTAACAACTCCTACTTGAGTTCTCTTTCTCTCTTTCTTAAGTTATTACTTGCTTATAAGATGGCCTCTCATGGTACCGATGTTGGTGATGATGCATCCTACAATCCCATTGCCCAAATTCTTTTGACCATGGACAAAAGTCCGAGATTTAGAATTCTTACAGCATGGTCCTACTTGCAAGTAGGAAAAGGAAGGCACAATGCAAAACGTGTCCTGCACTCCTTATGGCCGAAGGAGATTCAATCTTGAGGCATCATCATGCCGAAAAACATGCCTGAGGTTGAAGTCGACAGGAGGTGATTCAAGTCAACCTATACTTGATAGAGAAGGTGGAATATGGACGTTTGATGCCGATTTGGACCGTCAAATAAGAACACAATGTGTCATTCGATTCAGATTGTCGTTCGGACATTTTGACAACATTCATATTACGAACCTCATCCAAAAAATGTTACAACCACGCAACAAGCCTGTAAGTCAAACTCTTAGACGTGATGCGGTAAAATTGTAGAAAACGTGTCAAAATGAAACGAGATAAATGTTTTCTCTTTTGCTTAATTTTGCTTCGTTAACGTGTGATTTATGGTGTGTGCTACACGTTTTGCCACATTCTTATATATGCATAATGAAACATTATATTGAGCCACAGCTTTGGCAATTAGTAAAGAATATGTAATCAGGTTTGAACCATTTGGTATGCCATATTCGGATGAGTGTTCATTTTCAATCATTAAAAAAAGTCTAAAACTTGTAAATTATAATCTAAAATCATTAGTATTTCATTTGATAACGCTAGTACTAATATTGCATGTGTGTCGAAAATAATGTTGGGTATGCGCCCTGTTTTAGACAGTCAATTATTTCATACACGTTGTTATGTACACATAATCAACTTAGCCGTTCAAGACAGTTTAAAATTAGTCAGCCTCGTACTATATAAATTTAGTCTTATGTTACGGAAAATTTGCACAAAAGGTAAAAAAAATACGCTTTGTATAGAAAATATTGTGAGGATGTCGGTTTTAAAGTTTTGGTACCGAACTTTGATATTCCTGTTAAAGTTTTGCGATTTTAAAAATACAACAACTCTTTTATCCGGTATTTATTATCCAACAAGTCATTTACATCTAAATCAATTATCTATTTTGTCAAGTAAGATGGTACAATATACAAACACACTACCAGGAAATTGGGTTATTAGCGACTATCTTAATGTCTCGCTAATTAGCGACAGATTAAACCCAAAACCCATTCATTGCTAATTAGCAAAGGATTGACCACAAGCTCATCCATCACCGATCTCTCGCTAATTAACGATGGATAGGTGGCATCTGTCTATAATCCATCGCTAATTAGCGAGGGATTAACGAGGGATTTATTTATTTTTCTTGTTTTCTCATTTGAATGTGTTATATGTACACATATGTATCTGTATGTGTTATATGTATACATGTGTATATATTATTAGGGGTGCCATCGGTTGAAATCCAATGGATTTAGATGGATCCAATCCGATCCAATCATCCATTAGATGTTGGATTTTGTCATCTGATTCGATTCGATTAACATTGGACATCCAATATTATTGTATTAATGTATATACGTGTTGTATATATGTTTATATGCATGTGTATATGTGAATGTATAGGTAATGTATGTGTTGTTTGGTAAACAGATATGATGTGTATGTATATGTGTTGTATATATGTATGTGTATATGCATGAGAATGTATTGATAATAATGTGTGTGTTGTTTAATAACCACGTAAAAATTGTTAATAAGTCTTGGTGTTATTGAGCTTTAATAAGTCATAAAGGGTCTTATTGGACTATAATGAATCTTACTGGGTCTTATTGAGTTATAGTGAGTCTTAGCGGTCTTATCAAGCCTAATAGACATCACATGCATATATGCAATGCATACTTGCATAAATAACAAGTCACTATTGGTGTTATTGAGCCTTAATAAGCCATAAAATGTCTTTATTGGGCTTTAATGGATCTTAATGAACTTTAATGGGTTTCATTAGGCTTCAATGAATCTACTGAGTTTTATTCGGTTTTATTGGATTTTAATCAGTTTTAATAGGCTTTGATGGATTATATTGGGCTTTATATGGTTTCATTGGATTTTAATGAGTTTTATTATGCTTTAATCGATTATATTTAGCGATGGCCAAATGGGCCCGGCGTGGAATGACCGCTGGAGGATTGGGATTGGAACACACTTGGGACCGATTGGACTAGTTTTGAGACTGCCGGTTAAGGACCGCTAACACTTTTCATCCAAAAACTAGAAGGGTGTTTACAAGGAGAGGAAGCATCGGGAAGAAATGGGAAGCACCGGAAGCAGGTGAATCATCCAAACTCTAAACTCTTTTAGTTTATAAGGTAAAATACAATACCTATATTTTGTATTTACCTGAAAAAAAATGGGAAATGGAAACTAGCATGATATGAGAGATGTTGCAGGTGGCATGGATGATGAATTTCATGCCTCCTTCCCATGTTTCCACTACAACTATAAGCCTCGTCTTTGGTCACAAAACTAGTATCAAAATGCATCTATGATTTCTCTAGAATACGAAACTAGGGTTTTTCAAATCTTCTATACCTTTACTTTTGTGTCAGATTTTCATTTCTTTATTGTAGTTGGAGGCTTTTCTTTGTTGTTACAAAGGAACGAGTAGCAGGGGTATAAATGGGATGGTGGCTCTGACTCTTACCTCGGTAAGAGGATGGTCAGATGTGAGATTATGGTAAGAGGTAAAAAAATCTTTGGTAAGAACCTCTTATTTGATAAGAGGTAATAAGAAGCTAGTAAATAGGCCCTAAGAATCAATTAATAACTAACATGGATTTGGCGCCAAAGCTTGGTTGTAGATGGTGTATATATTTGAATGGATTAGATGAATATTTATACCAAAATTACAAAATAAGTCCCTATACTAAGAACAATTACAATATTGAAGAAATCTAATTATGATGGCTAACACATACTATAAGTTGACAAGATGGAGACTATTCTTCTTGTCGCCAATGAACGACAGAACCTTTGCTGCAATATGTTTTGGGGTGAGGCCAGCCTCCACAATCTGGTCTGATTGAGAGCCATGTTCGATATATTTGTCAGGTAGCATCATAGCCCTCCACTACAATAAATCAAAAGAAGAACAGAAGAAATTAATATATTTGGAGAAGGTCATAGTTAACAATCAAAATAGTGGTTGCCGATAGGAAGAAAGTATCTCTAAGATGTACCTTGAGGTTTCCATCAAGTAACCCATTCAAGGCCAAGAAATGTGAAACGTGAGAGCTGAATCCTCCTATAGATCCTTCTTCGACAGTGATGAGGACCTCATGCTCTTTTGCTAGTTGCCTGACCAAACCTCCATCGAGCGGCTTGCAAAACCGTGCATCCGCCACAGTCACTGAGATACCGAGCACTTGAAGAAGTTCACTTGCTGCTAAACAACTTTGTACTATGGTTCCATAGCCCAATAATGCCACTCTACTTCCCTCCTTAAGCACTCTTCCCCTTCCAACCTATTTGAAATATTTTAATAATTAAATCAAGATTGGATAATGCACGGCAATGTAAGCAAGGTGAGAAAGTACCTCAATTGGGGTTCCTTTGTTATTTACAGGGAGGATTGAACCTATGCCATTGCCTCTCGGGTACCTAAAGCAGCTAGGCCGGTCATCAATGGCTGCAGCTGTGGCAACCATGTGCATGAGCTCAGACTCAGAAGAAGGAGCCATCACTACCATGTTCGGTAAGCAAGCCATGAAAGTTGTATCAAATGCACCACAATGAGTTGGACCATCTCCTCCAACAAAACCAGCCCTATCTATGGCAAATCTCACTGGAAGTTTTTGAAGATCAACATCATGAATTACCTACATCAAAATAAATTAATTGCATTAAAGTATATGTATATTTCACCTAAAGTTACCTTACAAGAAATAAGACAACGATCTTACTTGATCATAACCCCTTTGAAGGAAAGATGAATAAATAGCACAAAATGGTTTGAGCCCTTCAGTTGCTAAACCAGCAGCAAAGGTGACAGCGTGCTGCTCGGCTATGCCAACATCAAAACACCTCTTAGGGAACTGGTTTTGGAATGTGTTAAGGCCTGTGCCTCCTCCCATAGCTGCATGAATAGCGACTATTTTGTCATCTCTTTGTGCCTCGGCAACCAAAGAGTCCGCAAAATATTGGGTATATGAGAGGGTCCTAGCTTTCGTTTTGAATTGTTTTCCTGACTGAGTATCAAAATTCACAACACCTGTAAGAGAAAAGAAACATATAACTGAGTGTTTCTTTTTCATCCATGATCGAGGTTAATCTTATGGTAAAACATGCAATACCGTGCATCTTATCGGGTGCATTTTCTGCAGGAGGGTAGCCTTTGCCTTTCTCAGTAACAATGTGGATGAGAACAGGTCCTGTTGCTGGCGTAGACCTGATCTTATTGAAAACATTGATAAGATCTTCAACATTGTGTCCATCTACTGGACCAACATAATAGAGCCCAAGGTCTTCAAAGATGCAAGCTTCATTACCACCCACCATTTCTCTCATATACAAGTCCATTTTCGCTGCAACTTCATGTGTTTGATCCTCCAATTTATTGGTCACTCCCTATTCATCACATAATTTCGACATCAAGTTTTTGTTGTTCGAATATTTACTTTTCTTAAGATTATAGTTTTTTACATGAGAGCCAAGTCATTTTTTATGGAGTGTATGCGTGTGTGTTTGATGTTTTAGGAAACCCAAAGTTTTTTGTTTGTTCATAATTAAACTAACATTGTTGGATGTACATCACAAGTTTAACAATGAATGTATATTAGATATTGTAACATGTGGAAATCTTGAAAGAATGTATAGAGAAAATTGCACCTTTGCGACTTCATGGAGTTGACGAGACTTCCTGCTAGTTTGTAGCCTTGTAAGGGCTTGACTGAGTGCCCCAACGGGTGGAGCAGGGCCGTCAAAAGTGGCTGTGGGGAGGGAAACTTGGCGGTTGTCATTCAGGACTATGATAAGATTGGAGTCTAGGTAGCCAGCATTGTTCATGGCTTCGTATGCTTGTCCTGCAGTCATGGCTCCATCCCCAATCACTGCAATCACATGGTTTTCCTTTCCGAGCAAGTCACGACCAACAGCCATTCCTTTTCGAGAAAGAGAAAAACAAATAAGACCAAAGAAGTTTTTGGTCGTTCTATAGATCCGAACAGATGCCAGCCCAGAAAAGAAGGCAAAACAAAGTAAAAGAATCCATACAAGCCATGGTATTTTAAATAGGAAAATAAATTAGTGAAGTTAATTACCTAAACCAGCAGAAATGCTAGTAGAACTGTGACCAGCACCAAAAGCATCATGTTCACTCTCCTCTCTCTTAGGAAAGCCTGCAAGTCCTCCTGTTTGTCGAATCATTCCCATTCTTGATCTCCTTCCTGTCAATATCTTATGTGGGTACGACTGCACCAAAAAAAGATGTTACATAAACCATTCATTTTGTCCATTCAAGAAAACGTTACAGAATTAACTGTCACCTGGTGGCCAACATCCCAGATGATCTTGTCGTCGGGGGTGTTGAAAACATGGTGAAGTGAGACGGTTAACTCAACCACCCCTAAGTTCGAGCTTAGGTGACCGCCGGTCTTGGATAACGTATAGACAATCTCTTCACGAAGCTCATCAGCCAACTTCTGAAGATCCTATGTAGCATATATAATATTTCAAAAAATTAAGGTAATTGTATTACTATATCATCATTAGTTTCTCATTTTGTATATCTTATATCTTTCATCACTATTAAAAGAAATTGTATAAACAAATAAATTAAGTGGGTCTACTAATGATGACTTCAAAAAGTCCGGTTTTATAGGTTTAACTGCTAATGCCTCCGATTAGAGATTTCACAATGCCATAGGATTGATTGAAGTTTCTGCCGGATAACCTCTTAATTTGGTACGTGAAATATACATGATGGAACTAGAGACCTCAAGTGTTTGATACGAGTACCATGATATAACAAAAACAAGTAAATATTTCGACTAGTTTATTAAAATATATTTACCATATAATGATTATAAACAAAATTTACCTTGACACAAAGATTCTTCATATTGACCGGATAACGAATGGTATCCAAGATGGGTGTGGCCGGCTTCTCCCCGGAGTACTTGAGGGTGTTTGCGGGGCTCCCGTTCACCCTTTCTAGGTGTTCTATTTCATTAGTTGCCTTGTCCTTCGTAATAGCGGTAATCCGAGTAAACTAAAACAAGAGACATATACGATTGATGAAAGCGTATTTTAATGTGTTTTTTTTACGACCACAATAAAATAAACAACATACAATTAATTAACTTCTTGACCCAAATTGTAATTACTATTTGAGTTACGTTGATGCTAAAACCAATTTAGAAAAAACAAACTCGATTTAAGGGTGAGAAAACATATATTTTGAACTTTTGGACTCGAAAAAGAATTCACTACAACAAAATTGAGTTTGTAGGACACCCCCAATCTCTAAGTGTCCCAATATACTTTTTTATAAGACTTAATTTATAGGACTAAAATATAAAGTGTCATATCTAAAGATGTTGTAATAAGTTTATATGATGCTTTTGGGAGTCTTAACAAGTTTTTTAGGACATTTTTAATACAAAATGTCGCATTAGCAACTTTATAGGACACTTTTGAGAAAGCATCCTATAAACTATTTTTTTATAGGACACTTGTTTTTATAGGACAATTTTTCAAATAGTGTTCTGTAAAGTTGATAATGGGACACCTTATATTAAAAATGTCATAAAAAACTTATTACGACGTCAAAAAACGTCATATAAACTTATTACAACACCTTTAGATAGGACATTTTATTTTTTTGGTCTTATAAACTAAGTCCTATAAAGAGGTCTATTAGGACACTTAGAATTTGAGAGTGTCCTATAAACCCGATTTTGTTGTAGTGATTATAAATAAAAATAGATGAAACCTTGCGGTTGCTTGACTGCCTTGCTGCAGTAACGAATGGATAAAGCAAACTAGACGAAGTGTGAGCATCTTGAGCCAGAAATGACGACAGAAATATACCCTTCAAAGCAGTAGAAGAAGCCATTTTTATACGAGTATGTTTGGTACTGTAGGTTTTCACTTCGATTGGTGGATTATTAAGAGTTTTGGAGCATTTATATAGGGTATGTCAAGATTGTGATGGTCCAAGCCATTGATGTCTGCAAGTCGAAGAGGCAGCCGTAGGCTTTGGTCAAACTCTTTGACGCACAACATGTTATTCACGACTTTGGATATACAAACTTTTTTCGTATAATTTTAGTATTTGGTCATGTTTTGTTTATGGTCAAATCTTTTAATGCATATGTTAATTATATATGAGTGACTAAGTTCAATTAATCCAACAATTCTTGTAAAATAACACATTTTTTTAATTAAAAAGGATATGAATGACGTTACAATAAGATTTAGGTTTATAGGACCCCGAAATTTACAAGTTTTCTAATAAACTACTTTATAAAACTTCATTTTAAAGAACTAATTAAATTAAAAGTGTTATAATATGTTTCTAGGACGTTTAGCGTCATAACAAACTTTTTAAGACATTTTCACTAATGGTGTATATATATATATATATTTGAACCACCCTATATATATATATATATATATATATATATAGGGTATATTTCTTTTACAACCTTATGTATTTGTATAACTCTTGCAACCCAATTATTAATTGAGATATTTATAGAAATGATGGGAGTTCATTTATTATGATTTGAATATTTATGGAATATGAATAGAGTTCATTAATTATGATTAATACTTTATMTTAGGAAACAATCAAAACTTCTATGAAATCACATATTCATCAAATGAAATTGGACGGTTGAGATTGGGTTGTATTGGTTGCACAAATATTAAGGGTTGTATAATAACCAACCTCTCTCTCTCTCTCTCTCTCTCTCTCTCTATATATATATATA